TAGGGGTGGGGAGTTTAGGGTATATAGGGCCTCTATAAGGCTTCTATAGGGTATATAGACCTTCTATAAGGCTGCTATAACGGTAACTAGCCACCTGAAAATGTCCTAGACCATTTGACGAGAACACGAAACCCTAAACCCAAAACCCTCAAACAATCAACGGGTCCACCTACAAGGACCCAAACACACCCCGCAGCAGGGCCCCTTTGGTTTGCACCCTGACTCAGAACGCCGCTCTAGGCCTGAACACTAGACCCTAAACCCTAACCCTAAACCCTAAGCCTAAACCCTAAGCCTAACCATAAACCCTAAAACCTAGGCCCTAAACCCTAGACCCTAAACCCCAAACCCTAAACCGAAAAAGCCCTAGCCCCTAAACCCTAAACCCTAGACCCTAAACCCTTAACCCTAAAATAGAAACTAGAACCCTAAACCCTAAACCCTACGGTGGAAATCTAGCCTAGCTGCTTGTTGAAAAGCATCTAGATAGATAGCCTTCAAGGTCGGCGGTTCAGATTCTGGGGTTTAGGGTTTAGGGTTTAGGGTTTAGGGTTTAGGGTTTAGGGTTTAGGGTTTAGGGGGCGGTTCAGATTCTGGGTTTTGGAGGGTTGGGCTATTGCAATCCTTGTACCAGAAAACTGGGAGGCTTAATGTTTTGGAACTTCGCGGTTTAAGAGTTTAGAGTCAACCCCAAACCCTAAACCAGAAACCCTGTTTAGAGTGTAGGGATTGGGGACTTTGGTTTCTAGGCTATAAGTTATTCGGGGTTGGGGTTTAGAGTTAGGAGTTGACGGCTCAGCATTTAACCATATAGTTTAGGGTTTAGGGTTTAGGGTTTAGTGTCTAGGATTTAACCATATGGATCCTAAATTCTCGCTGAAGGCTCAGCATGTGTAATAAAGAAGCCTGACTATCTAATTAATCAGTGCCAAATGTTAGTCCTGGAGGCTTACTATTTTTGTACTTATGGAATTATAGAATAATTCATGTACCTCCAAACCCTATCCTAATGATGATAGAAGAACCCCTGAAGCGAATCCGATTCGAGCTATAATGTAGGTGCCTTAAAAATTATTACCCATACTATTTTGGTGGTTCATTATTATAACTATAACTATAGTGGAATGGGCCCCATATCCCTTTTCTAATTATGAAGGCCCCTACATTATACCTGCTTCTTCATATGAACCCTAAACCCTAAACCCTAAACCCTTTTTGCTTCGGTGGGCGAACCTGCACCTTTTGTCAGCAGCTTCTGCTGGAAAAAAAGGCAGCAGACCTACTTTAGGCCTGGATTTCAGCCACCCATCCATGCTCAAAGGTTTCTATATGGGCGTCTTTTACAGTTTTTTTGAGGGTTCCTTTGAAGGAACCCTTGGAAGGTTTAGGGTTTTGGGCTTAAGGGTTGCTATAAGGGTTTCGTGAAAAGTTTCTCTTGAGAGGTGTCCTTTACGCCTCGCAGAAACCCCACCCTAAACCCCTAAACCCTAAACCCTAAACCCTAAACCTTAAACCCCTAAACCCTAAACCCACACTTTAACTGAGAGTGCCTTTAAAGGAACCCTTAAGGGTTTAGGGTCTTGGGTTAGACTGTAGGGGTTCATGTATGGGGGGATCCCCATGTGTTTGGGTCTATAGGGTCTAGGGTTCTATAATCATAAGGGATGTCCGGGGCTTAGGGATCTACAGGGCTCCTTTTAAGGTCACTTTCGGGGCTTTATAAGAAATCTACAGGTTTGTTTATCGAAGCGTTTACGGATGAAGCGATGACGCAACATGGATTTAGGACTCTAAGCCATAACCCTAATTAAACCCTCAACCCTAGTTTATGGTAACTCATCCGAAAGATCGGCCTGAGGATGCGGTGGCGTTTGCTGGAGCTGCTTTCAACAGTCCCTTCGAATTAAACTCTGCTACGATTTTGTCGGTCTTTCTCTCGGTCTTGCTTGCCGGAGGAAGAGATGCAAACCTTCCTGTATCCCCTTCCTTATACCATCTTCCCTAAACCCTAAACTCTAAGTTAAGGTATCCCTATAAGGGTCCAAGTACCTAATAATCATATACTCTCCCAAATAGTAACCTACATAACTACTATCTGAAACCTAAGTACCTGATTATTGGGTCCTTTGGACCCTTAAGGTATATTCCATAATTTACGGGGCCTCTGGAAGGTCTGGCGGGTTGAAAATAGGCTGGTGGCGACTCACTATGTCCCCCGCACTGGGTGCGTGCGGTGGCGGTGTATATATATATATATATAATACAATATATATATATATAGATAAGGTTTAGGGTTTAGGGTTCAGGATATATGTAAGCGTAGTAACATAGTCTTGCAGGCCACTGCGAAGCATAGGCAGGAAGGGTTTAGGACCCTCCCAAAGCCGCACGAAGACATCGGAATTCCTCGGCCTCCCTGTGGCTCCAGTTACATAATATCACCATGAGCAGTCTTGGCATGCCTTAGGGGTGGAGGTGCTTTCCCCTTTGGCGCCCAGGCCTCTGGCTGTCGGGGCTTGTCCGGCGCAGTCTTGGCAAGGTTCAGAAGTGGAGGTGCTTCCTCGTTTGGTGCGACGGCCTCTAGCTGTCGGGGCTGGTCGGGCGCAAGGTTCATGGGTGGAGGTGCTTCCTCCTTTGGTGCGACGGCCTCTGGCTGTCGGGGCTGGTCGGGCACAGGGTTCATGGGTGGAGGTGCTTCCTCCTTTGGTGCGACGGCCTCTGGCTGTCGGGGCTGGTCGGGCACAGGGTTCATGGGTGGAAATGTTTCCCCTTTTGGTGCGACGGCCTCTGGCTGTCCGGGCTGCTCGGGCACAGTGTTCAGGGGTGGCGGCGCTTGCCCCTTCGGCGCGACGGCCTCTGGCTGCCGGGGCTTGTCAGGCGCAGTCTTGGTAGGGTTAAGGGGTGGCGGCGCTTGCCCCTTTGGCGCGACGGCCTCTGGCTGCCGGGGCTTGTCAGGCGCAGTCTTGGTAGGGTTAAGGGGTGGCGGCGCTTGCCCCTTTGGCGCGACGGCCTCTGGCTGTCGGGGCTTGCCAGGCGGGGTGGGCTTCTCAAACTCCATTACAGGAGCCGGTCTCACTCGGCGCCGGCCTGTGCTTAGGGTCTATAAGGGTTTGGGGTTTAGGCGTTTAGGGTGTTATGGCTTAGTAACACTGGGCTCACATTATGTTATTATTTTTTTTTGGGGGGGGGGCAATTAAGGCAATAATTGGGGTTTAAGGACGGCCTGTACGCAACTCCATCTCCTGCACCTCCCTTGCCGATCTTGGCCCGCAAAGAGCAAGCACGAGTGCCAAGGACAAAGAGACCAGCGTCAGGGTGCCGGGCAGCAGGATGTAGATGATGGGGTTACCTGGGTGTATACAGGAAAACAATATAACTGACAGTCATGTGTTCTGTAAATGTCCGTTCTATCTTGGTTCCTATAATGAAACAAAACCTGCAAAAGGATTGAAGTTTAGTAATCAACACCCCTGATCTAGAACCCAGACTCCCTAAAGTAGGGAACCTATCCATAGTCCCCATAGTAGTTCCTTTTTGGGGATTACCTTATGGGATTCTAAATATGAACCGCAAAAAGGGGTAAAGAACCACGATAGGGCCTATGACAGGGGTTGACAGGGCCCATGGACAGGGCCCAAGACAGGGGTCGACAGGGGCTATAACAGGATCTATGAGAGGGGTGGACAGGGCCCATGCAGAGGTTGACAGGGGCTATAACAGGGTCTATGACAGGGGTGGACAGGGCCCATGGATAGGGCCTATGACAGGGGTTGACAGGGGCTGTCGACAGGGCTCCACAGCGCGTATGACAGGCCATGACAGGGCGGAACAGGGCCTGTGACAGGGCCTACGGATAGGGCCTGTGATGGGGGTGGACAGGGCCTGCGGACAGGGCCTATGACAGGGGTAGACAGGGCCTGTAACAGGGGCGGACAGGGTCTAGGACAGGGCTACACACAGGTAAAGGGCAGGCTGTCGTGGGGGGTTCTTTATGCAAAAAAAGCTACTATGGGGCCTAAGTATGGGTAGTTAGCAGGGACTCCATAGTCGAAGCGCTGAAGGAAAGCACAACGCCTCTGATGTAGGTGACTTCATACTCAGATAGGGTTGTCTTTGAGGCCCATTGTGGTATGACTATGTACGCGCCACAAAGGGCTTATTCCGACCCCTATACTACAGCTCTAAAGCCTAAACCACTAAACCCTAAACCCCTAAACCCTAAACCCCTAAACCCTTCACCCTAAACCCCTTAACATGCTTCAGACCAAGGTTACTCCAGTCCATGCTGACCAGTTCAGGCCCGGATAAGTCGGGATGCCTCGCGGGTTTAGGGGTTTCGGGTTTAGGGGTTTAGGGTTTAGGGCTTTGGGTTTAGGGGTTTGGGGGTTTGGGGGTTTAGGGTTTATGGTTTAGGGCTTCAGGGTGTAGGGGATGAGCATTCCCGGTTTAAGGGTTGTCCAAACATAAATCCCTCAACCCTCATGGCTAGAATCCTTGAATCCTGTAAGAGAACCCTGAACAAAAAGGCCCGACACTTTCTAATTTCACCTAAGAACCCTTCGAACCCATGGAAACACTAGCCCATATCCCCTAAACCCTAAACCCCAAAACCCAAAAACCCTCCCAACCATAGATCCCAAGAATCGGAGCCCTGAAGAAATCCTGGAAACGTAATCTAGGGGCTTTAATAATTAGAACCGGGTTTGGGGGGTATGTTCATTATAATTACAATTACAGGTGCAGGGTTTAGGGGTTGGGTATATTCTGCTAAAATTATTATAATAGGGAGCACCCAAAATAGTATAGGTAATTCTTTAGGCTTCTAACATTTATAGACTCCTTAAGCATCATATTGCTCAGAACACCTCTAGAGGACAGCTGAGGACGTGGCCAAGCCGCAAATGGTAAAATGACTCTAAAAAAAAAGGTAAACAGTAAGAACCCAGATGTCACGTAACGGAACGGTTGAAACACGATTCTTCTTAAGGGTTCCTTGAAGGCTTCCGAAATTGACCACCTGACGGGTCTGGAAGCGCCTGAAGCCCTAAAGCCTAAAACCCCTAAACCCCAACAGCCCAAAAAAACCTTGAATCCTAAACCCCCAATGCCCTCAAAAACCCCTAAATCCTAAACCCGTAAAGCCCTCAAAACCCCTAAATCTTAAACCCCAACAGCCAAGACCCCTAAATCCTAAACCCTAACTACAGCCTACGCCGTAACCTAAAACCCAAAGCCCTAAACCCTAAACCCTAAACCCTAAACCCTAAACCCTAAACCCTAAACCCTAAACCCTAAACCCTAAACCCTGCCTGGTGAAGCACATCTGACCCCGTCCGCGTTCCAACTTCTCAAGGCCCAAGGCCGCCACCTCCACAGCGTGGAGCCTTGAGGGTTTTAGGATGTAGGTTTAGGGTTTAGGGTTTAGGGTTTAGGGTTTAGGGTTTAGGGTTTAGGGTTTTGGGTTTAGGGTTTAGGGTTGAGGGTTAAGGGTTTTAGGATTTAGGTCATTTTTCAATTTAGGGTTTAGGGTTAAGGCTAAGGGTTTTAGGATTGAGGGTTTTTAAATTTAGGGTTTAGGGTTAAGGCTAAGGGTTTTAGGGTTGAGGGTTTTTAAATTTAGGGTTTAGGGTTAAGGCTAAGGGTTTTCGGATTTAGGGTTTAGGGTTTAGGGTTAAGGGCTAAGGGTTTCAGGGTTTAAGGTTTAGGGTTTTAGGCTTAGGGTTTAGGGTTTAGGGTTTTAGGTTTAGGGTTTAGGATTCAGGGTTAAGGGTTTTTTAGGGCTTAGGATTTGAGGTCCAGGGTTTAGGATTTAGAACTTTGGGTTTAGGGTTAAGGGCGAGTCTAACTCCAAAACGGGTTCCTATAAGGGAACCCTGAAAGCTTAGATTTAGGGTTTAGTTGAGGGTTTAGGGTTGAGGGCTTTGGGTTAAGGGTTTAGGTTTAGGGGTTTAGGGTTTAGGGATCTAGGGTGTAGGGTTTACCTTGACCCCCCAAGTGCCCAGCAACAGAGCCCTCAAGGTCCTGAGTAGTGGATATTTGGGGTATTGGTGGGTAGTTGGGGGCTCAAGGTCTAGGTGGGGCTTCGGTTTAGGGTTTAGGGTTTAGGGTTCAGGGTTTCAGGTAGGGTTTGGGCTTTCGTGAAGGATGCTCAGGTCAGGATTGTAGTAGGGTTTGGGTTTAGGGTTTAGGGTTTAGGGTGAAGCCTGGAAGCCTTGAACAGGGGATCGCTGGGGGTTTATTTGGGCGTAGGCTTGACGATGGTTCTTTCCAAAGGGGTTCCTTCAAGCAGCGCTTTATAGGTTTCCGAGAGTAGGTAGAATATAGCTTCGATCCTTACTTTGCTCTCTCCCTCGCTCTCTCGTCCCTCTCTCTCGCTCTCTCGCTCTCTCGCTCTCTCGCTCTCTCTCTCTCTCTCTCTCTGTCTGTCTGTCTGTCTCTGTACACAAAACTCAACAAATAAGCAAACATATACATATCTGTACATATATATATATATATTTATATTTATATATTTATATGTATGTGTATATATACATAAAACCACACATACACATACACACATATGTGCATGCATGCGTGCTTGCATGCTTATATATTTACATACATATACGTTCCGTAACAGGGTTCTTCGACGGTACGGGCCGTAACCGAGTACAAGCCAACCATAGGGCTTTGGGGTGCATAGTGGCAAAACTGTGCAGGGACAAAAAGGGCGATGTTGCTGTAGTGCTGGCAAAATTTGGGGCCAACGCACACACAAAAATGCAGGAACATGAGCCGCTAACGGAAGTTCCTCTCTGCATCCCTAAACCCTAAACCCTAAACCGATCCAAGCATCTCTTCAATGAACGGCTCGGTGTTGAGACGCCAGCTGAAGAGTCCAAGGACCGCCTCCAGGCCACCGGCACCGTGAGTTACCAGTAGAAGTCCAGCCTTCATTCGGGGAACACGTGCAAGCACCCATATATATATATATATAATATATAGTATAAAATATATAGTATATAATATATCATATATAATATATAATGTATAATGTACAATATATAATATATAAAATATAGTATATAACATATAATATATAATATATAATATATAATATATAATATATAATATATAATATATAATATATAATATATAATATATAATATATAATGTATATGTAAATGAATAATATATAATATAATATAAAATATAATATATAATATATAAGTTATATAATATATAATATATAATATATAATATATAGTATATAATATAATATGATACAATGTAATATTATATAATACAGTTAATATAATACAATAGAATACCGAAGATAAGTAACATGGGGTCTTGGTGTACATCCCAGTACAGTATAGCTGACAAGGTACTATAAGGGGACGTGGTGGCTAAGCAACGCAGGGACCCTCAAGAATTTGAGCCTAAACCCTAAACCCTAAACCCCTAAACCCTAAACCCTAAACCCCTAAACCCCTAATCCAGGGTTCCGGGGTACATTCTGGTATACTTGTGTTCAGGAAACCCAAGAATGAGCTTGGCTTAGGGTTTAGGGTTTAGGGTTTAGGGTTTAGGGTTTAGGGTTTAGGGTTTAGGGTTTAGGATTTAGGGTTTAGGATTTAAGGTTTAAGGTTTAGGGTTTAGGATTTCGGGTACTTCTTCAGGCCTTACATTGCTACAAGGGGGGGGCATGGTTGTTGATTGTACAGGCACGATTCCAGAAACAGAAATGCTGTTATGCCTTTTAGGGGCCCTATACATTGCAGGGAAGCTTACGCCCTAAACCCAAAACCCCGTGAATGCTTTTAGGGTAAGTAAGTGAAAGGGTTTACGGTTTCGGGATTTCTGGACACCGGCTGTTAGGTTTTAGGGTTTACAGGGTTTAGGGGTTTTAGGGTTGAGGCTTTAGGATTTAGGGTTTGTCGGGATTTAAGACTTAAAAGGATTTGGGACTGAAGCCTTTCCCTAATAACCCAAAACCCTAAATCCTAAACCCAAAATCCTAAACCCTAAACCCTAAACCCAAAACCCTGTCTGCGCAGTTCAGGGGGCTGCAGTGGTTTTCTGAGGATATCAAGGCCTGGAGTTCGGGAGCCCCAAACCCGAAACTTCAAAACCTCTTAGGGTTTAGGGTTTAGGGTTTTAGGGTTTAGGGTTTAGGGTTTAGGGTTTAGGGTTTAGGGTTTAGGGTTTAGGGTTTAGGGTTTAGGGTCTTAGGGTTTTAGGCTTTAGGGTTTAGGGTTTTAGGGGTTAAGGAAGAGTCTTGGTAGTTGTTTTCAGCTTCTCAACCGATAGAGCACCAAAACCCCAAAACCCGGAACCCCATAACCCTATAGGCCCCACCTTGATAGCCGGATCTCGACTCCAGTCCAGGGCCGCTCCCGCGATGTCACCGCAGAGACCGATTGAAGCGATGATGATATTTGCGAAGGCGAGTACGCGAATCCAGTCGGCCGTGCCCTTCATCTTTGTGAACCTGGGGCTGAAAGAATAACGTAGGGGCCTTAATGGGTTGAGGGTTTAGGGTTTAGGGTAATAATTAGAATAGGGTTTTGGGGTAGGTTACAATGTACTTAGAAGAAGGAACCCACAAAACAATAGAGGTAATTATTAAAGCCCCAATATTCTACGGCATACGAGGGGCCCCAAACCCTACAATATGGTCCGCCAAAATACTCGGCAATTGGAGCCACAGGCAGTGTTTACGGTGCTTAGGGCTCATTCTAAGTAAGGCTATTCAGCAGACTTACGTGGATGAGCGGGGTTCCAACAGGTATCGGGCTTTGAGGTGCAGTCATTGTCAGAATGCGTGTGCAGAGTCTCATCTGCTTCGTGAGCGTAACCTGCATTGGTCCAGATCCTAGTGGCTCTTCGGGTCTTCTCTAAGCACGTGGTCACGGCACGCATTTCTTTGACAATGCTTGCATGTTCTCCCTTATAAGGCAGCTATATACACCTGCTCATCCCTGCCAAGCAAGAGGAAACACTAGATAAACCCTGGAGTCTTGAAAAACTCCCTACCACCCTTACACCTGTAAACCTCATTCCCGAAACCCGGTCCTCATAACCCTATAAACCATATGAACCTTCAACTCTCTTTCTATCTAAGGTAGAACCCATGGGCCCCTTGTGTGGGCCCTTTAACCCTGGGACCCTAATATGCCTACTATATATACCCTATATATAACCCTAGAATCCCCTAAGGGCCCATGGTAGGGGCCCATGGGCTCAACCTTAGATTCTATGCTTCCTACTAACGTCCCGCAAACGAAAGCGGTGGCTGGAACTCACAGATCCAGGAGACGAGCTGTCGCCGTTCGTCTCTTGGGAAGCACAATCCTCCATGTGCTTTTCTTGCAAAAACAGGGTTTAGGGTTTAGGGTTTAGGGTATGTAGCTCCCTTTTGGGCTTGCCTAATCCACAAAATGGAACTACCATGGAGCCTAGAGGTACGGGGTTTAGGGTCTGGGGCTCGGGGGGCGGGGGGGGGGGGGGTTCCAGGTTCCTATAAGGATAGTGTAGGGTTTAGGGTTTAGGGTTAACGGGTACTGTCAGGGGTTTCGGGAATCATGCGATTTAAACGCTGAGGGATCCAGGGCCTTTTAAATCAATATGATGCTGATACCCCCCTATGCCGTTTAGGGTTTAGGGATTAAGGTTTAGAGACAGTGCGTTCCGACATAAAGGTCTGCAATATACTCCAAACCCTCTAGTGGCGGTGCAGGCTACCCCAAAACAGCGAAACCAACCCCAAACCCGAAGCCAGAACCCTAAACCCTAAATCCTAGGCCCTAAAACCTAAACCCAATCCGACCATAGCCTACGAAATGTTACGGATCACTTGTTTTCGATGCTGGGCACCCAGACCTGTAACCTCCCATCTGATAGACCCCAAACCCGAATAAACCCGAAGCCCTGAACCCTAACTCCAAGGGTTTAGGGTTTAGGCTTTATACTACATAATTAAAGCTTTCAGGCTATTTTGAGCCTTAGGGCAATACACCCTAAACCACTTAGGCGTTGCGGCTAAGAGTGTGAGCCTGCTAAACCATAAAGCCAAAACCCTAAACCGTAAAACCCAACAATAACTTACTTTTTTTGGTTTGTATATTGAAATCATAACAAAGAACCCTAAAAAGGGAGCTTCTTAGGGGTTCAGGTAAGAGCTAAAACGGGAGACGGGCCTAAACCCTAAATCCTAAACCTTAAACCCAATAAACCTTAAACCCTAAACCTCAAACCTTAAACCCTGAACCCTAAACCTCAGACCTTAAACCCTAAACCTTAAACCCTAAACCCTAACCCCCCCTGGAGTCCTTGAATCGGTCAAGAACGTTGGCTGCCGCCGACCTTAGGAGGTTTATGGTTTCAGGATTTAAAGTTTTAGGGGTTTAGGGGTTTAGGGTTTAGGGGTCTAGGGCTTCAGGGGTTTAGGGTTTAGACGGTTTAGGGGTTTAGGGTGTAGGGTTTAGCGGTTTAGGGTTTAGGGTTTAGGATTTGAGGGGTTTTAGGGTTTAGGGGTTTAGGGTTTAGGGGCTTAGAGTCAGGGCTTTAGGGTTTAGGGTTTAGGTTTTGCACCCATATAGTATTAATCTAAGCCAAGCAGTACCTATCTAGGAACCCCTGTAAGGTATGCTGAGACTGTATGGGCACATGGAGCCTGTGGATTTTGGGCCTGCGAGTAGGGTTTAGGGGCTTAGGGCTTAGGGTTCCTTACCACTAGTTATAAGCATAATCGTTTGTATGATGGCATAGACCACCATAGCCCCGTTGTAATTATTATGGCCCCTATGGTAGGGGGTTCAGGCCTTAACAGAAGCCTTAAAGGAACCCCTTACCTAGAGGCTCCCTTTATACGACTATTCTGGAATTAGGCCCCTAAAACCATAATAAGGATGGT